TACCCACGCACGCATGGACTCACCCAGCTATAAATAGGAGCAGGTACTGCCTTTTGGAGAGGAAAGTTTCCAGCCGTCAGCTCTGACAGTCGGACCGAACATTCTTGCTGCAATACTCTAGTTCGTATATGTTTTTATATCTATTTCTGTTAATATATTTGTTTAACTCAATTCCTCTCTTTGGGTCTTTATTTCTGGCCTAACAAGGCCACAACAGCAATAAAAATAAATGGAGGATCGATTAATGTTTTACCTTCAATTCAAACCTCTCCACCATCAGCGAAATATCTCTTAGCTGATAATATCAAAAAGTCTTCTTTTATATGCTGCGTCCTTTCAGGGCGTAGACGATCATGGTTCTCCACATCATCCCGTCCCTTGTAACTCTTAATAGGTTTTGTCTTTTTGTTATTTCTCCGAAACCCTGTTCTACCATTCATTTGCTCAATCCCATCAAGTATGTCACGTGCTTCTTTCCTTTTTCCTTAAATGTGTCCTCATTATGTGCTCCAGAAATTCTAAGAATTCTTCCTGATGCTAAATATAAGTTTCCTTTTTGTTTCCATTTTCTCCAAAACATTGCCGTTGGTCGCATGATCGGTCCATTATATTCTCAGCATCTTTCTATAGAATCACGTTTCTGTTGCTTCAAGTCTCTTCTTCTTCTTTGAGAAAATTATCTAACATAGACACTCCTTTCATAAATCGTATCTAGTGAGTTTCCAACCTGTGTTACAGGGTCGGAACGTTAAAGTCCAAACCAAACCTGCTCACAATATTCACTCCCATTTAAATTTTTACTAAGAAATAACACTAAAATATTTGTAGAAAGATCAGATGGAAACTACAGCACGTCTGTGAGAACGTGACAGTAGACGAGATGCCAGACCAGGAAAAATCATATTGCATATCTATCTTTGTATTTTGTCTAGGATCTCGAGATGAACAGCGGTGCCACCAGATCATATATGGCAACATTATTCAAAAGATGAACCCAGGTGAGGAAAACCTTCTGGCGCGACACAGAGAACCAACTTTCCTTGCGGTAGATGAAGCTATTGATTCAATGTAATTGTTCCACTTCAGGTCAGTGGACAGCGTGAGACTAAGCAGGCGTATCGATGCGTTCTCAAGGAGTTGGGAATTAGCCATTCTGATGGGAGGCAGGGAGATCGTGGGAAAATGAGAGCAGTTTCGTTTTCGAGGTATTAAAGTTTACAAGCCATTTCATATATTTATTTATTTTATTTCTTCCTTCCTCTATCTATCTTTCTTCTTTCAGCCCTTTTTTAAGTTTTTAAGGTTTTTAGAGGATTATGCAGTAAGAGGCACAATGTATGGGTATGTACGTGGAAGATAGCTTGTGACCATATACTTAAACAGATAAAAAGACAGAGGAAATCCACAATAGGTCTTTGAGAAAGTGACTGTAGACGAGATGCCAGATTTGGACCTATCACAATTCATATACGTCTCTGGACTTTGCCGAGGACCTTGAGATGAACAGCAGGGGCCCCAGACCATATATGACAACAGTATTCTGTGCAAGGACGAATGGTTGATTTGTAGAGTTGAAGGATGGACTCAGGCGAAAAAAACCTTCTGGCGAGACACAGTACTAACTTTCCTTGCGGTAGGTGAAGCAATTGATTCAATGTAGTTGTTCTATCTCAGGTCAGTAGAAAACGTGAGACAAAGAAGGCGTAGAGAAACGTAGATTTGAGTATCAACCATGCTGATAGGAAGCAGGGAGGGTTCCCTATGGTGGGTAAATGAGAGAAGTTTCGTTTGGGAGGCTTTAAAGTTTACAACTCATTTCCTACCCCAGTCAACCACAGATTGGAGGTCCTTTTAGAGACCGGCGGCCAGGTTAGCTGTTTCAACGATGCCGGATTTACTATCGAGACAAGAGTAAATAGCACTGTCGTCTGCTTAGGAACTGATGACATATACGAGAATGGCTATGACATAGAAATCCAGCATCCTTTTCTATGTTTCTAATAATTTTTTCCTGTTTCTCAGCACCTTGCCTAGCTTTTGGAATGCTAATTCTTTTGCTAGTTCAGGGTTTAAATATCCAAGAATTAAGAGGGAGTTGCCTTAATGTTTGACTTTTCTGCTATCCCAGCATATTTCTTTGCTTATCACGTTATTTTTATGTACCAGCGCCCCCACCCGATCTATGGATATTTGAGTCTAATAAGATGAAACGTAAAAGATGGTGATGCGTCACTCAGAATAAAGACAAACGAAGAGAAGAAAAAAGAAAATTAAAACCAGCGATAAAATGGAGTTTAAAAGAAAATCGTGTCTGAATTTACGAAAGGCGTAGAGAGTAATTACGCTGACGCGAGTCATTCGAAGATGGCCGTCAATTTCGGCAATTGCGTCTCTTTAAAATGCCACAGCCTGCTTCGAAACATCTGCAGTCGATACTCCAACTACTTATAAAATTCCGTTACAGACAATATCGGCCCACATAAAACGGGCACTCTTGTCAATGTTCATTAAGTAACTTAGACCATAATCGAGAGAGTGCTAACTATAGCAAGGCATCTATCGTTTTGTAATCTTCAACATCTATCTATATATCTATCTATCTATCTATCTGTCCATCTCGAGCTTTCAATTACCTAACTATCCATCCATTTATCTATCGTAGGCTTTCATCTATCTATCTATCTATCTATCTATCTATCTATCTATCTCATCCAGTCTATTACTACATATGTTTAGCTATTTCAGCTTGTTTATATCTCTAAAACTAAGTACTTAATATATCTCATAGTCATTATCTATCTATCTATCTATCTATCTAATTCAGTCTATTACTATATATGTTTACGTATTTTACATGTTTATATCTCTAAAACTAAGTACTTAATATATCTCATGGTCATTATCTATCTATCTATCTATCTATCTATCTATCTATCTATCTATCTATCTATCTATCTAATTCAGTCTATTACTATATATGTTTAGCTATTTCAGCATGTTTATATCTCTAAAACTAAGTACTTAATATATCGCGTCATGATCATATCTATCTATCTATCTATCTATCTATCTAACTGGCTAGCTAGCTCCGTTTATCATATATCTTTGTTCGTATCAATCAGTCTATATAATTGATCTAGCTTTTTCATTAGTCTTCCCCTGCCTATCCTTCCTCTCTACATCTCTCTAAATATATCTCTCTTCCTCCCCCTATTTTATCGCTCGCCATATATATATATATATATATATATATATATATATATATATATATATATATATATATATATATATATATATCATTTTATTCACGTTTTGAAAAACCAGACTTTGCACTCAGTATTACGTCAAGGAAGTCAATTTTATTAGCATATTGACCCGCAATATGACCTTCTAGCTACCATGTGATGATTTACGCCTTCCTTCACAGGATGTTAGTGGCGACTATTTCATATAAAGATGCCATCGACACATGCACTTAAGATATGCAAAGATGAAACAGACAATGAGAGAAGGATATTTAAATCCCGCTACACCATCTCAAAGATGCAAAAGAAAAGAGTTTCAGACATCCTCACGAGATGAAGAATCCACGTTTAGAGAAAACCAACCGAGTCATACACCTATTCGCGTATACTAATTGACGTAGTCCTGAGATTTGTAAATATGTCACCACTTCAACTTGTTATTTTATTCTTAGTACTCCTCTTTGTCTTTCTGTTTGTTTGTTTATTTTCTTTTTTTCTTTCTTTCACTTTCTTTGTCTTTCTATCTATCTCTATAATTATTTATTGATAGCTAACTCAGCCTGATCATATCTCCATCTTTCTCAGTTTTCCCTGTCTATCATTATATTCCTTCCTTTATGTTAAATTCTAAGTCTTTCTTCCCATTTCCATCATAGCCATACACTGAATCCATCATAAAAAGTCAACAGGTAGAATTAGTAACTACTAAATTAGTAACTACTAAACACTTCAAACATCTCGGTCTATGGAACTGTTATAACAGATTTAGTATCGGAGATAAAGAAATTGAACGTAAAATGAAATGTGCTAGAGATAGTTTCATAGAATACCGCAGGTTGGTGCAAAATCGAAAAATTAACTTAAAAAAACTCTCGTCATGCTCTTAGACTTTCATATGGATATCATACATATCACCAAACTTGTTCAGAAATATATGACGCGTTCAACGGAGGAGGGGCGTATTCGACATTTGATAATTTTGCTGTAATAAGTGCTTAAAGTTTCTAGTCAGTTTTGATCTTTTCGAGGTTACCCGTAAGAAATTGTAAATATAGGACTACCTTACACTTAAATAAAATAATAACAATAATAATATTTATTAAGCATTTATTCCAAGAAATATCAAGATTAACGGAAACATTGTTGACAATTATGTATTTAGTTACATAACAAATAAATAAAAATAATATAGATTTTGATGCTATATTCGATTTGTTTCTAGGTATTTTTTTCATTTTTCTCCTTTGTTATTGGCAGCATACACTGATTCCAATGCTATGGTTCCTAAGTTTTGACAAATTGGAGCTATTTCGTTTACGCTTTTTTACCTCTCTTTTCCATTGATGTTTTTAGATCGATTTCTTCCAGTTATTTTGATGGGTAATAGCGATAATCTGAAATTTACAATGATCTTATTCCACTTCAAAGATAAAATCTGTAAAAAGGAATATTTTGAATTGATATACGACCAATAATAAAATGTTTTTAACAAAAAACCTTAAAGATTTCACTATAATTATGTAGCAATAATGTAATGATATTCTGCAGACAAATTTACGGATTATGTTACCTCATCTCATTACATGTTTACAAGCTATAAAGCTAAATCGAGCTTGAAATATTTTATATTTTTTTTAAGTATTGGATATGATATAATGAATAATTTGCAGTGAAAAAAAGTAATTTTCCATATATTGTTGAATACGCCTCTCAACCGCCGAACGCGTCATATAACTCAGCTTTCTGAAACCAATGGATAAGAATAGCGAAAGAAACATGTAGGTCTCATCGCGAAGTATGATATTTCGAATCTTGTAGACTGGCGATACGGTCATTATTTAACCAAAAAATAGATAATCACTTGAGTAGATGGATAATTTGACCCTAATCTTAGCTCTGTTATTGTTTCGCGCCAAAAAGCCGCACGAGTTGAACTTACATTTCAGCAATGGAATAAAGAGGAAATAAGGATAGTTTGCTAGAATGCGGGTAGCATGGCGGGTTCAAGACTTGAAGGTTAGAACTGGTGGATCTAAGAATGTAGCTCGTCTGAGCACTTTCCATGAAAGTAGCGTTAGAGCAGTGAGAGGATTGGAAGATTGTCACCCACAAGGACACGTCTGGACTCTATCGAAACAGGAAAGTGAGGATTGTAAAGCTCCTGCACAAATATGAGAGCATTATTCCTTTTTTGTTTAATCTGGCTCTTGTATAGGCTTTTGTAAAGGTAGCCCCAGGAGTCAGGTACTTACTGGATCGGTACAAGAAACCGACCATTTTACCTGCATCTTTAGCGATGGATCGTATGTACGATTTCAATTTAAGGTATGGGTTGAGCTTAGGGACTAAGAGACGCTCAAGGCACGGGGCCTCCCTGAATGAACGTCCAGTCATCATGACTGGGTATAGATCAGGGTCCGATCGCTAATTTGTATAAACTAATTCAATTGAGCTTGTTGCGGATATGTGATGTGTGTTGGAGAGGAATAGAAGGTTTGAATTATCAGAAGGCTTAAAATTGTGTGTTCAATAATCTTCCATCCACAACAATTAATACAAGGTAGAGAATAAAGATTCATTATCATCTTGTTTCAAATCGTAACAATTGAATTTATTAATATTTGATATACATGCATGAATACTGAGTGAAAAGTTTAGACAGAGTTGTGTCTCTTAGATTAGGTAATATTTATACCTAAGTTCATAAAGTGAACGTAATTATTAAACTGTAGTTTAGAAGAATAAAGTTTCTTTAGCATGTTTGGAATTGTGTACAAGTTGGTAAAAGTTCAGAAGAGATTTCAGAGTGCGTACTTGCGTGAATGTTTGTAATGGTCTTTAACGTCTGATTGTATTAGTTAAGACGGGAGTTCTTGAAGATTACATCTTGGTAGCAAGGAATGAGACGAGAAAGAGAGAGAGAGAGAAAGAGAGAGAGTTTACACGTGTTTTGTTTTTAATAGATAGTGTATCATGTGGGAGGCTCCGAGCATATTGAGCGGGAAAACAGAGTTGTCGCGTGCAGGCGGTTTGATTGGTCGGAACTGATCAATCAGCAAGCTAGATTGAAGGTGATTAACCAATGAATGCTTGTTATATATTTTGTAAGATTGTGATGATGAAAATTACAACAGGAATAGTACATTTCCTAGCAAGGGTTAACTGGCTTGTTGTGGAAGATTCCACAAGCTGAAAGAGAGGATTTTGCTTGTAAGATGTAGTAGACCGTTTTCCTGCATCTTTAGCAATGGATTTATGTACCAGTTCAATTTGAGGTATGGGTCGAGCTTAGGGACTAAGAGTCGCTCAAGGCATGTGGCCTCCCTGAAGGGACGTCCAATTATTGTGACTGGTGATAGATCAGGGTCCGATTGCTGATCTGTTTAAACTAATTAAATTGAAAGAGAAGATTCTGCTTGTAAGATAGTAGAGAGGAGCACAGTCGCTGTAGTCATGGAAGGATTTGCAAAAGAATTGTTTGCTGGGTAATGGATGATAATCTTGTTAATGCACAGAAAGAAGTGGAAAATGAAGAAGGAACGTGGAAACTGAAGTGTAGAAAAAAATGCCTTTATCATGGTGAGCAGTTTGAGCAATTGTTGATGGTCATGGTGAAAAGAGTGAGAGAGGAAGAAAACAAATGGAAACGGAAGTAGAGAGGGAGATATCCCTTCATTTCTGACGATTAGCCACTCCCTTCCACACTCCTTAAAATCGCACCGTTCGGAGAAGTTCTCTGGAAGACATGCAAAAAAAGCTTTTGTTCGTGTCATACGTCATTTCGCTTTTATTCATCTATTCCTGCGTAATTTTTATCAGTGCATAACCGCTTCACAGGAATATTTTCTTTTCTTTATTGCATTTTTGCTTGTTCGCTTTTTATTCTGCTTTTTTTTTTTTTTTAAACTTTTCCTTTCAGCGTGACTTCGATTTTTCCGGTTTTAGAAGAATGTTCGCGCCTAACCCGATGTTCAGACTCAGTTGTCTTTCTTGTGTCTTGGACATCCGTCGGCGCCAATCCCTCGTGTTTACTGTCTGTGTAATGACTTCCATTGAACTGGAACACCACTCTCCCTATCTATCTATCTATCTATCTATCTATCTATCTATCTATCTGTTTGTCTGTCTGTCTCGTGCGCGCATGCAAGTGGGCGGCCATTATGACACTCATTGCAGTTGAATTCCTTATCCATTTTTCCCCCACTGGACTATGAACATCATTGCCCAACTTACCTGCCATTACCATGCGTAGAATATTTCGCGCCTTTTTTTTTCCCTGAAGAATTCGCTAATATTCTATTCTTTTCTTAGATAATTTCTTCTTTCATTCTTTGGCGTATTCTCATCATTATTTTCTTCAGCAGATGTTTCATCATCAACATCATAGTAGTAGTAGTAGTTGTAGTAGTAGTAGTAGCAGTAGTACTAACCCTCGCTTTCCATAAACTAACAATCGTCCTCGTCGTTATTGAAATAGAAATATTAGTAGTAGTAGTAATCATTTTGAACTGTACTTGCAAACATCAATCTGATTCTAATTTCTTCTTCTTCTTCTTCTTCTTCTTCTTCTTCTTCTTCTTCTTCTTCTTCTTCTTCTTCTTCTTCTTAATAAGAAAAAAATCGAAGAAATGAAAATACAACAGAAAATAAAGAATCATCATCATCATCATCATCATCATCATCATCATCATCATCATCATCATCATCATCATCATCTCCTTCTTCTCCTTTTCTTCTTCTTTTTCCTCTTCTACTACTACTACTACTAATACTAATACTAATACTACTTCTACTACTACTACTACTACTACTACTAATAATAATAATAATAATAAGATGAAGAAGAAGAAGAAGAAGAAGAAGAAGAAGAAGAAGAAGAAAATGTATATACAAAAATATAAGGGAATGTATATACAACAGAAATTTGAGAAAATAATAATAATAATAATAATAGTCTTTTCTTTTGCTTTTTCGCAATTTTCTACTTATATTCTTTTTACTTCGTTGTATGTTTTATTTTTATTTATATATATATATTTAAATTCCATATTTGTTTCCTTTCCTGTTTGTATTAAAATGTTTTATAGATTTCTGCTTAAACTTCAGCTTTGCTTATTTGGGATTTTCTATATATCCTTTCATAATAATAGTCGATAAAATACCATGATTGCTAGAACGAGAACCGTGTGGTTGACAGTGATGCTAACATTTTGTTTTTCTGTTTTAAATACTAATTCTGCAACGAGAAATTGTAATAAATAATAATCCTATAGCAATGGTGTTTATTTCCTGATGTATTTTTTTCTTCTTCTAGATAATCTTTTTATCCACCTTAAATATTTATTATTCGGGCCATTTTTCTTTTTTCTTTATTTACCTTTTAGCTCGAAATTCTCTTTCTAATTATTCTCCAGTCAAAGTTTTTATTCTTGGTTTGTTTGTTTCGTTTCTTTCTTTCTTTTTTCTTTCTTTCTTTCTTTCTTTTTTCTTTCTTTCTTTTTTCTTTCTTTCTTTCTTTTTTTCTTTTTTCTTTCTTTCTTTCTTATAAATAATATTGTTTGCCATCTTTCCCCACTTTTTTTTATTTCCACATTTTCTTCCTTTCTTTCTTTCATTCGTTCTTTCTTTTATGAAAAAATTCTTCGTTTTCTTTCGTCCCTTGCTTCCTCTCTTTCTAATTCAATAATATATTGTCCTACGAATGTTTTTTCTTTCTTTCTTTCTTTCTTTCTTTCTTTCTTTCTATTCCATTCTTTATGAGAATGTTCTTTGCTTTCTTTTGTTCCTTGTTGTCTTTCTCTTCTTTCTTTCTTTATTTATTTATTTATTTTTCCCTCCCTTTTTCTAACTTGATTTTTCTTTCTTTCTTTCATTCTTTCTTTCTTTCTTTCTTTCTTTCTTTCTTTCTTTCTTTGTCTTCCCTCTTTTTTTCTTTCTTTCTTTCTTTCTTTCTTTCTTTCTTTCTTTCTTTCTTTCTTTCTTTATTTATTTATTTATTTATTTATTTTTTTCTAACTTGATTTTCTTTCTTTTTTTTTCCTTTTTTCTTTTTCTTTTTTTCTTTCTTTTCTTTCTTTGTTTTCTTTTTTTTTTTTTCTTTCTTTCTTTTTTTTTCTTTCTTTCTTTTTTCTTTCTTTCTTTTTTTTCCATCCTTTTTCTTATTTCTTTATTTTTTCTTTTCTTTCTTAAATTCTTGCTTTTGGTTTTATCTTTCCTTTTTTTATAAATTTATTTTTTTTTTTTCTCCCTTTTTTTCTTGATTTTCTTTTTTCTTTCTTTATTTTCTTTCTTTCTTTGTCTTAAATTTTTTTTCTTTTTTTCTTTATTTCTTTATTTCTTTCTTTTTCATTCTTTCTTTCTTTTTTTTTTCTTTTCTTTCTTTCTTTATTTATTTATTTTTATTTATTTATTTTTCCCTATTTTTTTAATTTGATTTTTCTTTCTTTCTTTCTTTCTTTCTTTCTTTCTTTTTTTTCTTTCTTTCTTTTGTCTTCCCTCCTTTTTTCTTTTTTTCTTTTTTCTTTCTTTCTTTCAAAGGATTCTTTCTTTCTTTCTTTCTTTCTTTTCTTTCTTTCTTTCTTTCTTTCTTTCTTTCTTAATCCTCTCTCGTACTCTTTCCTTTCATGATTTCTTTATCATTCTAGCTTCGAGTTCCTTTCCATTCCACAATCTTCCCTTTCATAATCTATATCTTTCTTTATTCGTTTCTTTCCCTCCATTTTTCATTCCTTTTCACACTACGTCACTGTTCATTCTTCTTTTCATCGTTTTTTCTCTCTCGTTTTTCATTCAGTTTTATTTTCTCTTTTTCATTTAGTTTCTTGCGTTAGCTTTCTTCATTCCTGGATTCATTCGTTATTTTTATTTCATCACTTTTATTCTCTTTCATTTCCTTCTTTACGTCACATTATTCGTTTTTTGTCACTCGTTTCATTTTCACTCATTCATTCATTCATTTTTTTTCGTGTTGCAGTGTATTTCTCTTAACATCCCCGGAAGCAAATCGCTAAGCATTATTCTATCCTTCCTTCATTGGCCTGCGTCAAGCCGTGTGATAAGCATTTAGTGTTTTAAATTTTAAAATCTATACACAAGGCCCCGGGCAAATCATACTTTTTTCCCAATATATTCCAAGATATAGAATGATGAGAGAGAGAAAATATACGAAGAAGGAGGGGTTTTAAAAAGGGGAAAATAAAACAGGTAAGTGTTTCTAAATAGCAGAAAACTGAGAGAAAAAAACGAATTGTTGAATATGAAAAAGTAGCCAAGAAATCTCGATTTTGGATAAAAAAAAAAACTTCGAAAAATTCAAAAGAAAACACTACAACATAATTGAAAGATACGTATTACATATCTTCTGGCTTTCGAATTATATTTTTATATTTTCTTCGGAATAATAACCCACCTTGCGGTCCCAAGGGATATTCTTTAACGGAACTGAAAATTGAAAACACTCTTCAAAGTTTGTGTATTCATACACCAGTGTACAGGGAACTCGAAAGTTAGCAAATGCAACGCGTCGAGAACATATTTATTTCATTTCAAAATCTATGAAAAGTTTGATACTGAATTGGATTTTGGATTTTGATAATTGTAATCTATTCATGGCAAATACATTTTTGTGCAAATTAAATGAAACAAAATATTTCCGTTATTGTTTACTTTTTTCGTATTTTTCCAACAATTTTTTTTAAAAAAAACATGACCCAGTGCACATGTTAGTACTTCGTGTCTCCATTCCACGAAGTCGCTCTTCGCAGATTGACCACAGATTCCCGATTAGATTTAAATCAGAAGAGTTTCCTAGTCAGTCTATAGTATTTGCTCACTGGTAAGGCTTGCCATTGTGTTCGTGCAGCATTACAATTTTCGTAAGCTTCCTCGGAGTAACGTTCATCGGAGACAATGACCATAAGACAACTAATCGACAGTCGAGACACTAGTGTCTGGGCGAGATTATAACCTGATGAAATCACGGATGACACAATATTTTTCATGGCCAAACAAATATCATCATACACCCTGAAAATAGATTCATATTACGGAATACCACTGCAAATGACCTAAGTTGAGGCTAAAATAGAAATCGATTACATCCTGTCCATTCAGTGGCTACAAGATTGACCGTATGATGACAGAAAGGAAGCTAAAGAAATTGTTTCAATTAATTTGCAAAAGGGTGCCGCTTTCGCTCTAAAATCTAAGGATGAATGGTTTGATAAAAATCACGTTGGTCTTTATTAAAATTAATGATTTCTTTTCTATTTTCTTTCTTTCCAAAATTTATGGAGACTTGAATAAATGTTCTGATGATTTTAGAGTTCCTTACATTTGGATATCATTCATGTCTCTCTAGGTGTCGCTATTTTACAGATGTTTATGTAACTTGGAAGATGTAATTATTACATCAAAATATTAGCATTTCATCTCAAATCCAAAAATATTAAATTTGTGAACGTTCCTCTAAATAGTGATTTACTAAGCAAACCTTAGTTGTGGCAAAAGGTCAAGATTAAAGTGCACACTGCGAGGATCGAATTCGTCCCTCGGTCGTAACTGATCTAGCGTGAGAAGCTTGCTAACCATTACACCATGTCGAAGTCCTCGTTAACATAGTGGCTTTCTAAGCGTAGCTGAAATGTAGCACAAGACGGAATGTATGGGCACCCAGTGAGGATCGAAATTACTATTCAGTTATAATTGATCAACAGGATGCGATGGATAAATTGTCGCCACATTATATTTTTTTAATTTCGCGCATGCGCGTTCTGTTTTTGATTTTGTCTACTGCACAGTATAGTTGGGTCAGTTGGGCGCGGTCTGTGAGAAAGAATAGCACCATGATGCAATTCACTCCGCCAGAAATTTGGAAACGGCATGCTGTATAGCTCCAATACAATAATTTCAGTGAGTTTGGATCTCAATTTGAGGGCAGTACAGAGCATTCGGAAAGAATTTGATGAGTTTAATGGGGATAACGAAGTTGTTTTGGGTTGATACCTACTGGTGGCGACGTTATTTCTACATTCATCTTCCCAAAGGGCCTCAGCCTCAACACGGAGGCTTAAATTAAGTGCCTTGAAGAGGAAGCGATGCTCTGGGTTAAGAGGGTGGCTGCTGGAAGACCCTATATCTGACAATAGGACTCTGCATCATGCCACACAAGCAGGAGAACATGGCTGTCAGACAATTTCTTCGACCACATCAGCCTTTACATCTGGCCAATATAAATAAATACATATATATATATATATATATATATATATATAGAGAGAGAGAGAGAGAGAGAGAGAAAAGAGTTGAGAGAGGGAGGGAGGGAGAGAGAGAAATTTAAAAGTGAACATTGAAGTCAACACTAAGAGGCTACAGGCTGTTTCATTCTGTACGCAATCGTCAGGCCAGACGATTGCGTTCAGCATGAAACATGTGTTGGCATGAAACATGTTTTGACTTCAATGTTCACTTTTATATTTATATACGCTCTATCTCCGCTATTGAGCACTTTATCCCATAAATATATCACACCTTAAAACTATATTTCTTCATTTATATATATATATATAGGCACTGACCATATAGGTACTGACCATCTGAGTACTGTCCATCTAGCCTCTAACCATCTAGGCTCTGGCCATCAAGGTACTGACCATCTAGTACTGATCATCTAGATAGTGAATATCTAGGTATTGACCATCTAGCTGCTGTCCGGTGATCGTTCGGGAACTGTTGTTGCAATGTAATGTGGACATAAACATAAACTTAGCGTAACCTGGGTTAATATATATATATATATATATATATATATATATATATATATATATATATAGATAGATAGATAGATAGATAGATAGATAGATAGATAATTACATGCAACCTAATACGATATACGTTAAAGATGTGTCTGTGTGCGCCTATAACACTGACGACACACACACACACACACATATATATATCCATATCTATATATATATAAAGAAATATAGTCTTAAGGTGTGCTATATTTATGGAATAAAGTGCTCAATATCAGAGACAGAACGTGTGTAAATATAAAAGTGAACATAGAATCAACATGGTTATTAGGCGACAGTCTGTTTCATGCTATTACAATCGAGAAAAGGCCAGCATATGTGGCGACATTATAGCATATATATGAAACAGACTGTCATATATGTTCACTTTATATATATATATATATATATATATATATATATATATATATATATATATATATATATATATATATATGTATGTATATATTATATAAATATAATCTCTCTCTATCTCTATATATATATATATATCCACCATATTTATATATATATAATCTATATCTCCCTTTCTCTCTCTCAGTCTGTCTGTCTGTCTATCTGTCTGTCTGTCTCTCTCTCTCTCTCTCTCTCTATATATATATATATATATATATATATATATATAATTTATATGTGGTTTCATAAATTGGTGTTATTTTTTTTGTAATGTTTCTTTTTTGTTTGTTTGTTTTTTTGGCTATTAATGCGAGGGGTTGCTGTGTGCTGCACTCATGAC